TGGGTTGGTTCTTCTTCTACTTCTTGGCCCTCTTCTTCCATTGCTGTCATCTCCTCTAGTTGCATCAGATCTTCGTTGGTTAGCTCTTCTCCGTGTGATTGCAGAAGTTGTGTAATGTCGGCTTCTTCCACCTCATCAAAACCTGCTTTCTTGGCCGAGGATATCTTTCTTCATAGCAGGGACAACATCTTTACATCCTTTTAAGTCATTGACACATTCAGGCCACAACTTCTCCCACACACCACTCATGCATGCCTGAGTAACTTCAGGCCAGGACTCACCAATGTTATTGATGCACTTCAGGATGTTGTAGTTACGCCAAAATTGCCGAATTGTAGGTTTGCCTTCCCCATCATTGCCTCTGATGAGCTGGTCGAAAGTATGGTGTAAATAATACACCTTAAATGCTGCGATGGCTCCTTGGTCCATGGGTTGGATGAGTAATGTGGTAGTATGTGGCAGAAAGACAACTTTGACGTTTTCGCACAGGACATCCAGGTTGATTGGATGAGCCAGTGCATTATCAATAAGCAATAAAATCTTGAAATCAAGATTTTCCATGGCACAGTATTCCTTCCAGGCAGGGACGGCATAGAGAGTCAGCCATTCTGAAAAAATAGCTCCAGTTATCCATGCCTTCTTATTGGATCTCCAAATGTCTGGAAGGTGTTCCTTTGAAAATCCCTTGAGAGCGCGTGGTGTTTCAGATTGGTATGCTGTCAGTGGTTTCATCTTCATGTCTCCGGCAGCATTGCCACCTAAAAGCAAGGTTAGACGGTCTTTAGCTGCTTTAAATCCGGGCGCTGTCTTCCCCTCTCGGGAAATGTAAGTCTGCTCAGGCATCCTCTTCCAGTACAGGCCCATTTCATCGACACTGAAGACTTGTTTAGGGGAATAGCCACTTTCCTCAATGATTTTCTTGAGATAGTCAGGGAATTTTTTTAGCTGCTGCAGTATCAGCACTAGCCGCCTCACCAGCCATCTTGATGTTATACAGGTGGAAGCACCTCTTGAACTGATCAAACCATCCCCCACTTGCTGTGAAAGTCTCTGTCTGTGATCCTTCACCTTGGTCTCTCTTCAAATTGTCATACAAACTTTTTGCTTCAGCTTGTATCACTAGCAAACTTGGAGGTATGTTCCACCGGTTTTGGTCCTCTATCCACAGTGAGAGAAGATGCTCCATGTTTTCCAGCAAACTACTTCTTGATCGACTTATTGTAGTAACACTAAGCGATGTTGCACACCGAGCACTAGCCCTGATCTTGTCGGCATTACACCGAATTGTTCTCACACTGGTCAGAGTAAGACCTAGAGTGATGCCAATGTCTACTGCACGCTCGTCCGCATCAAAACTCTTTAAAATGTCTAATTTAGTATCCAAACTAATGGTTTTCCTGTTTGTTTGTTTTTTGCTGCTAGTGGTACTGCTACTGCTAGGCCCTCCACTATCACTTGCTGGACTCGTGATACTGGGTGATACTCCTCCAGACGTGCATGCATGTACTACTCTTCACTCCCTTCAGCCTGGAGTGGCCAGGGTCATGCAGCATCAGTCAACTATTGCAAGGGAAAGAATTTGGAAAACCCATGTCATTCTCCATGGTAATCTGCTCCCCTACTGGAAGCCCTGTAGGTTTAGGCTAGGACTAGTTATGGAGGTTCTTACTTTCTTGCAGGTTCCTACTTTCACAGGAGCCCTGCTGGAGGACCAACAGCCTCTCTTCCAGGGTGCCCTGGAAAAATGGCCTTGCTGTATCTCTCCTAGTAACCATGCACTCAGCACCCGGGCAGCATTGCAGCCAGTGTAGTAAGAGGAGGAAAATAACATTTGCTGCAGGACTGTGCCCCCTCTCTGCTGTGTGCATGCAGGGGCAGAGAGATGCAGCTGGCATTCAAGTGAATGTCAAAGCTCCTGTGCATTTCACAGCCTTTCATGGGAGCAGGGCCAGGTTCTGTGCATCTCTATGCTGCTTTTCCCCCTTGCTACAGCGAAGCAGGCACTGGAACGCTATTCCTGTAACTTGCTTTGAGTGGGCTGCCGCTCCCTGTGTTCTTACCTCCTTCCAGTGAAGGGGGAGAGCAGATAAAACATTATTTATTCTGTAGCAAGACAGCAAGGCAGGCCCTCTGCTGTGCACCACCCGCAGCTGTTCTGCAGGCAGCTGGTGGCCTCGCAAGCACTTGGTGTAGAGCCCTATTCCTGAGCAGGGCCGTTGGGCCATAAAGCAACAGTAACTCGCTGGTGGGTGGGGGAGAGTAGTGTGCACGTGCTGTGTGTTTACAAACATACTGTACATACAGTACAGTACTATAGTTGGGAGGTGCCCCTGCCTTACCGTACATAGGCACAGCCCACTGACACTGGAGATGAGGCAGGCAAGCAAGCTGAAGGTGCTGTAGGCTAGGCAAAGCACATTGTGCAGCAGTGGCAGCTTCCCCTACTCTGCAAGCATCAGGGGTGGGGGGGGCTCAACCCTCAGCCTGCCCACTCCACCCCTTCCCCCAAGCCCCCACCCTTGACCCGCCTCTTCTCCCCCCAACATCCTCCCCCTTTACTTCGCACGCTGTGTCCTTGCTCCTCCTCACTCCCTCCCCTCCCTTCTAAATGCCGCAAGCCCACTGATTGCCACGCTCAGGAGGCAGGGGAGGGAGGGGGAGCCAGCGTGCTGAGTCCTCGCTCCTTCTCCCTCCCTCCTGCCCAGGGCAATCAGCTGACTTGCCGCGTTGGGGAGGCAGGGGAGGGGGGGGGGGGGGGGGGG